GGACTCAAGTAGCCGCTGAGCCGAAAACCAAAAAAATACAAAAAAAAAACCAAAAAAAAAATACCCAAAAAGAACCACCACCCCTCTTTCTGCACATGCTATAAAGCCTTGAATAACTCAGGAATACAAGCGACGAAGCTGCTTGAGAACATCTACCCTGGACGTGCGCTGCACTTTTCAGACAAACTTCCGAACTATCCCCAGCGAGGGCACTTGTTCGGCTCTTTTCTTCCGCCGCTCCGCATCTTTTTGCTGCCGCAGCTCCTCTGGGCAGAGAGGCTACCGGATTGAGCCTCGAGGCAGACACAGAAGCTTGCGAAGTCTCCTGGGACTGTCGCTGTTGTTCCAGGCGGTCTTGCTTCACCTTATTCTTTGCCTGTGCCGCCACAGGATGCCACAGGACATCAGCAAGCTGATGCTTTTGCACCAGGACACATCGGCCCAGACCAACTGAAATGCAAAGGCAGCACTGACAAAGGTGCCTCTTGTTTCTTCCTAGCGAGCTCCTCCTCGCGCTTGGCCTTCTTGGCCTCTATCTCCGCGAGAAGCTCGGCCTGCGACATGACACGTGACTGCACAGCTCTGCTCCTCACGGCTGCGTGCGATGAGCCCTTCCCGAAATCTGTGGAGCCGCGAAGCCTTCCATGGCAGACTGTTTGGAATTCCTCGGTTGCGACTGGGACAGGAAAGTTCAGCCACGGGAGCCAAGTCTGCCAAGCTTCCGGGATCTTTTCTTACTCTTTTCTTGAGACCCAACTTTTTGGCTTCCTTCTTCACCCGTCGCTTGTGCTCACGGATTCGCTTCTGGATGTTGTATCTCAGGCGGCGGGAGTTGGACACCAATCCTGCACGCTAGACCTGTTTATCCACCTTGCCGCCGGAGCGCTTCCGGCTCAGCTTCTGTTTCTTGCTCTTTCTGTTGCCCTGGCACGAAGATACGAAGAGAGTTCAAACCGATTTAAAACCTCATTGCCCAGGCCCTGCCAGCAACTTCATCTTCGACTCTCTAGGGCGCAGCCCAAGCTGGGACGGCTTGGGCACAACGTCACGGAGAGCATTGCATTTCCACCCGGCTTAAAGCGGTATAAACCCTCGTCATACACTAAGACAGCCGACGCTGCAAGAGACGTAACAAATCTGCAATGTGCATGCAAGTGGTCGTCTGTCCATTCATGCATGTACATGTCCACTACTGCGGACGGCTTGCAACTGACGCTGCATCCTGCATGGAGGACCAAAAAGCTTTGCATGCCCACTTCTTTAGCTGTTTGTTTTTCCCGTTGGGAGTTCACTCGTCCACGGCTGGCTTCCCATCCGCTCCGCTCTCAATGCCAACTTGGCCATAAGCATTTCGAGTCGTCGGTAGTCAGACGTCGCAAACTGTGAATTCACAACTTTCCGCAAGAAACTCTTCCTTGGCCAATTGGAAGTGGCAATGTCCACGCCAAACCACATGCAAGCAGCAGATCTAACAAGCAGCCACCACAAGCATACGGCCACATCTGGACGCAGGCGGCTACGAGCGAGCTGTCAGGTACTGAACGTCTGTAACTGTACGTGCGAATGGCAGCGACCGAGCTGCGAGGTACTGACGGCCTGCCTTACTTTCAGAAGAAGCACCGCTGATTCGGCCACGAGCCTTGAGCCTCAGGGACGCCATTTCCATTCTTCCAAGCTTCCACTTTTCTCCCGGCTTGTAAAGTTGGCGTACTCAAAGTTGAATCCAAGAAGCCTCTATCTTAGAGCCTGCTCTGCTCATCTGTTCAGCCGCTCTGTGCGCCCCTCATGGCTCAGGTTTGGCACAGGTTTGCGATGCGGGTACCTGCAGCAGCACCCACTCGCGTCGTCACTCTTGCCATGGTGCTCGAGAGTTTTGCATACCAAGGTGCCAAGCAAGCAGTCTCCCGATGCAGACAGGACACTACCACACGTCCATATCTCTCGAAGTCACCCGCAAGCATGATGCGCACCATCATGACAACCTCGGCGAGACAGCATCATGGAGCCGTGCAATGCTGCTAGCGCTACCAGTGTCAGTGTAAGATACGCAACCACCATCGCAATTTGTACAGTGGGCCTTTTGGCGCGTCTGCTGCCCATCGCACAAGCCTCAACACCAGCTGGTTCCGAAAGCCTGAGCCCGTCTGAGTCTCCTCTTGCACGAAGCGCGGCACCACCAGGAATCGAACTCCCCGATCGTCGTTGTCTAAGTAATTTTGGGCGAGATAGGCTGCGACAAGTGCACGGTGAATCGCCAGGGTTCCGATGCCTCTGACTAGAGGATACTTCCCATGGCCTCCTCCCATTGGCCTCAACGCACCTGCTATGGCCGCAGCCGCCTGCGGCCAGGAGCAGCGGACGCGCTCTTACAACTTCTACACCAAATCATCACCCTTCATCCGACATCAAAGGCTTCCTTGATCCAGATTGAGACTTACTCAACAACCAGCGGTGCCCAGAAAACCGCCTCAAACTTTCAGATCCATCACCCCCCGAACATGGAGCTGCCGAAGCCCAAATCAGCCAAGTCCTCTCGCGAGGCTCCGGGAGCCGCGACTAACGACGAACCAAGATTCTTCTTCTGTTTTGTTCAAGAGTCTTCAGAGCCTTCATGCTCGTGCAACCTGTTGGAGAGTCTATGTAATTCCTGCGCCGTGCCATAAAACTGGCTTTTCTCACCCATCCGAGCTTCGAAGGTGAGGCCGATGAGATGTCTGTCGCAATTGATACCCACCCCTCGTCTGTGACAAGGGCGTCACAACGAGAGAAGAGTCTGATCTAGCGCTACTCTATGCGCAAGGTGTTTCTGCACCGCTCGAGGTCCAAACCTACATGCTGTGCCGGCGCCTTGCCGGGCTGCGTGCTGGCTCCAACGAGAAGTTCCACAGCCGGCTTGCTCTTCTGGAAGGCGCCAGCCGGTAATCGCACAGGGTACACACGAAGATACAGCTCGTTACTGTGCTCCGCCTGTCCTCCTTGGCAGTCACTGAGAAAGCCCACCCAACGACATCATGCCGCGATCGCTCAAGGCATGATTCCGGCATCTTGAGCCAAGATTCTGCTTCGCGCCTTGCTCTCCGACACTTCCATTCCTAGAAAGCGGTCTTCGAGTGCATCCGGATCTCGACTCAAATAGTCGCTGGCATTGACGACTGACTTGACACTACGGTACGCAGCTTTTGGACCGATGCAGCCTCAGCAAGAAGCAGGCGACTGAGGCTACAAAATGGGGCAAACCAGCTGACAGAAAACAAAAACAGAGTTTGCACACGGCATGAATTGCGAAGGAGCGAATGGATGCACTGCCAACCTCCAGGTGTGTGGGAGGCATGTGCAGTGTGTGTAGCCGCCTGCTTGGGATGACTCAAAACGTCAAAGCCTGGCGAAGACGTGCGGCGATAGCGCCGCCCAAGCGGGCCACATCCGTCGCAGCACTGGCTGTGAGGACATCACTGCTAGAACCTCCCAGTGTACTAACGCATCTTCGGTAACGAGCCTCACACATGCGAATCCCACCTGCAGAGCACCACCGGACCTGCTGAAGCGGGAATGTCCATGTCCAGCCTGGCCGAGCAACCACGCTGGGATGGTTTCACCGTTTCGCTGCCCGGCCTGGTCGCGTGATTCGACGGGCAACCAAAGCCATGTCACAAGCAAGGCACTGGGTGCTACGCGACGATCTCACATGAAATGCTCTGACACTTGCGACACTGACAAGGTGGATGTGTGATGCAGAATGTTTTTCTGCTGAGGTTCTTTTCCGGCCACCTCGAACCAGCCCTACAGCCACATGCACGATTGCAGAGACGCGTGGACACCAAGATTCTTGAAAGGACGGTGTCAGAAGGCTGCTGCCTATTCGGCACCCGCCCTTACAAACTCTGACCGAGGTTGGCAGATCCTTCTGCACATTCCGCTGGCACCTTCAGCTGCTGGTGTGGGACCCGGGTCTGATAGGACTGCGATGGACAGCGGGAGGGTCGCACGAGAGTGTACGTCGAAATTCCAGAGCCAGTCCTGCGAAATCGTCGCAGGTGTATCGAGCGCCCTCCGAAGCCTTTTCTCAACAAATCAATGCCTGAGCAGAGCACAACAAGCACTTCCGGATGAAAACTGCTTGACCGATTGCTCTTCCAACCATGGGTTTGCCTCCTTTGGTTTTTGTGGGTGGCCAGCATCCTCCTACTGTAGCTGCTAGCACCATGCAGTACCTCAAGAAGCACGATCGCAATTCAGCGACGCTTTGTTGGCACAAGAACCGGCTTTGCCTGACTACTGCATGCCGACTACGCAAATCTGGAGCAGAACGGGCCTTTCGGTCTGGTGTTGCAGGTTGCGAGCAATTTACAAAGGTCAACGGAGCAAGCGAAGCTTGTGACAAGCTTCAAATGTTCGGCAAACCTTTCTGCTGTCCTGTCGAGGTCTTGTCTGTTGACATCACCGTCCAACATGGGCCTTACATGCAGCTGGTGTTGGAGAACCCGGCAGTTGCCAACATGTTGAATGTGTCTTCGTTGTACATGGCCATGCTTGGGACCAGTGGCCTCGAAACCGCGATGTATCGTGAACATATGGGGAACTATAAGCACTAACTAAAGGGGCACTACTTTAACAGCAAGACAAGCACGGAAGACCCGGTTCAAGCATAAGCCTTTTTGGGGAGGGTGGCTCCTTCGATTCTGAAGTATCCATCTTACCTCTGTGTCGCTGCTTGAGCTTGTTTGGGAAGGCAGGCCGGGTCAGGGCAGGGGAAATTGACTTTTTCTGTAGAGCACCTCTGGTATCTCCAGGTGCCTGGATCCCAGAACGCCAAGCCAACACTCGGAATTCTCGGTGTCATCGGCTCCACTGCGTAAGACTAGCACGCAGCCAGGTTGCAGGATTCCCGCAGAGGTGCAAGAGTCCAATCCTTCGAGCTGACCTTGCGATTCGAGCGCGCAGGCCTTTTGGAGCGACAAGCGACCTGCGTCCAAGATCTCCTGAAGCAGAGCGCCTTGAAAGAAGAGACGCCGCCGTGATGCATGCTTGCGGAGGAAGGCTGTCAGTGTGGATCTGGGCTTCAGGTCGCCGGTACCCCAGTACCGTTTTTCCAACACATCGCACCTAGTCAAGACAGGCATTCCACAAAGGGCTTGACGCAGCTGTTCGGGAACGCGAAGTTGAAAGACCGCTGCGGACACCAAATACAAATCGCGCTTATCTGCCGTTCGATAGGCCAGACAATCTCGGAACTTCTCCCAGCATAGATCCCAACCGAAAAAGCTGCAAAAGGATTGCACCGGTTGTGGCACGTTAGCACATCCCCTCACGATTCTAGATCCAGGAATTGGTGACTTGTCCACAACGACCGGACTGCCTACACCGTGCCGCCGACTTCGCATGCAAGCAAAGGCAAGACATGCACTTAAAAGGGCCCCTGAATGCCACTTTAGCCGGTGGAAGATAGTGTGAGGGCGCCGCGACCGACTGATACAGAACAGAGTGCTCATCGTTGTCACAGCCAGGCAAGCGAGCTTAAACGCCGATGTGAAAGCTGGTGAAGCTGCGGGTCGATGCAACAGAGGTTGCAGCTCACTCGCCTCCAAATGATATGTGGACCTGTCAGGGTATCTGATCTTCACTAAGCCTGCATAGGGGCCACTGCCACGTCCAACTACCCTTGCAAAGGCTCCTGATGCTCTGACCATGATGTTGCTTCCCGGTGGGAAGGCGGACTGCTCGTCTTCCTCCACGGGACACGGCGACGAACAAATCCTCGGTGCTGTTGAGTCCTTGACCAAGACAGCCAAAAAGAGCCCTGGGCCCACACCCAGCCGCAAACAGCGAGCTAGCTGTGAGCCCAGTTCGAGACCATTTGGCTCACTGTGTCTCGGCGGAAACATAGTGCGAAGAACTTTTCCCCCCCGCAGTTTGGGAGGGACGTCGTCCCATGACAGGAAATGGGACGGCTCCTCTCCCGTGTTAGGGTTGGGTATGCTCCATGAGGTGCAGCCCGAAGACGATGGGCAGGCAAGCTCCCACCTAGCATCTTCTATTTGCACAGACGGACCATACCTGCTCAAGGCTGCAGCTATGACTGCCTCGTTCTCGACTGGGTGCTGGGCAAGTGCCACGAAAACCAGTCGTCCACCAGGCCCGAGCAGGCCGAGCCCGCGCTGGAGCATTCTCACATGCACAGGGTGCCGATGCCAAGGTTGACCCTCATATGTCTCGCATGGGCGGTGGAGTCCAACTCCTTGGCCTGGAACGCAGATGACGCGGTCAAATTCCATGAGAAACTGTCCAGATGGTTCTCTCCCTGTCGGAGCTGTCCATTTTGCGAAGCCCTCGCTGGGCGACGCAGTCAGAAGCTGCGGGAACCGTTGAGGCTGAGACACTGTGAAAACGACAGGACTCCGATGAACTAAGTCGACTTCACGAACGAGATCTTCCAGACTCTCGGCCTTTGCTGCGTTCGCAACAAGAAGCCCTGAAGGAATCGTGCCTGGCGGGAGACCGTGGTGCAAAGACTGCGCCAACTCCCGTGAGCAGGCACCAGTCATGTCAAGGACTCGATGCTCACAAGTAACCCGCAACAAACGAACGCAAACTTCCGACCATGTTGCTGCCATTCTGACGCCCAAGGAGTGCCTGCAGCCCGAAGACCCGAACAGAGACGGAACAAAATGACGCAGCGATTCGATAAAGCTGCTTGAGCCAGCAGCTGCGGCTGCTGCAAGGGAATGCTAAGCCTCACGGTCACTCAGGGCCATCCTGCCCAGATACCAAGATGCCACATAGCTAGGGACTCTGACGACACAGAGGCAGGAATGCAGTGCCTGAGCCAAGATGGACGAAAACCGGCAAGGTTGGTCCTTGGGCGCTCCTCGCCTTAGACAAGAACGTAGTGACGTAGTGCCAGCCAAGCAACACAGAAGCGGTCCATTGGCAGCGGGCTGAGAGGTTTCATCGAAGACCCTTCTGTGTGCTGCTGTGTTCCAAGGCTGCCACTCTGGCTGTGTCACATGGCCAGGCAATGCCCGTGGCCTCGAAACAGTGATGCCTCATCAACAATATGGAGAACTAGCACGGGGCCATTAAACAGCAAGACTGGCTGTGAAGATCTGGTCTAAGCGTTGCCCGTGCTTAACCCACGCCGACGCCGCAAAGCAAACACTCTCTTTGGACCACGTCCATCGGCAACAGGAACACTGTACATTCTGTACACACGAACGGAATTCCACAGGCTATGCCAGTAAGCCTTACTCAGTACACCTCCTTCTCCTGCTATAAGCTGAAGAACCGTCGAGCGTTGGCCGTTGTGACTTTGGCGACGTCTTCTGCTGGCACCTGCCCAGATGAAGGAGTGCCATGTGCAAATAATCATTACCCCCGCATGGATGAACCCGCCACATTCGTTGTGGCACTGTTGTGGCTCGAGTTCCATGAGCTAAACGTGACGGGGTTTCGTTTTGAGGCCTCGATGCGGATGAGCCTTGATAGCTCTCGGGTTTAAGGTTTCGGGTTGTTTCTTTAATCCTCTTTTTGTCCGTCAGCAATCCGCCTACGGAGAGCCATGTTGGCCGAGGGAGTCCCGCAACAGACCACACCAGTGGGGGAAGAGTTTTGGGTTAAGGGTTTAGGGATAGACCATCTTCCAATGAGCATCAGCAGAAACCAATCAAGTCCCTGCTCCTTCACCTTTCAGTCGTGTGAACGCTACGCCGTCTCCAAACCTGCCTCATAAGCAAGATCTTTCTTGCGAACCAAGACCAGCAAACTTCAAAGCACGCAGGCACCCACGCAAATTGAGTGTGGATGCTCGTGTCCGTGGGTGGTGCGTTCTCCTTGCAACTTGGCACTCTCATGGGATGACGTGCTACTCAGGCTTAACAGTTTAACACATCCAGTCCCTGGGCGCGAGGTGTCACTGCTGAGAGTATCGGGGTCGACCATCATATCATGCATCATGCCGGGTCTCGGGCTGCAGTCTTGACTCGTGCTGCTCATCCCGCGTGCATCAATAAGCGCTTGCCCCCTATTTGTGCATGTTCGCGTATGTTTAGGTGTCTCTGGGCTGGCCTGTCGGGCAGTCGCTCTCTCTCTCTCTCTCTCTCTCTCTCAGTCTCAGCGGCAGGCATGCAGCACTGCCTCGAGGCACTCAGCAACTGCTCGGCAAATCGCCGGCATGCAGCATGGTTCGTTTGTGCCTCAGCACAAGCAAAGGATGCCACTCGCCACATCACCCCACCATCCCCCAAGACCCCGAGCACCAGCTCTCCGAGCGCTTCAGGCCGGCTACGGCCACGAACGCCCAGCGCGTCGGGAAGATATTCTCTGTCCGGCAACATGAAAGGGCAATCCGTCCTCGGTCTACGTGCTGAACCTCTCGGCTGTCGCGAAGCATGTCAGCAGCTTCGTTGTGCACGCGACTCTAGCATTACCCGACAATCGACGTGTGACCACATAGTTTCGTGTCGTGACTTAACCCGTCCTCTTAAACTGCTGCTGCTGGTCAAGAAAGAACGAGGTGCTGCTCTTTCTAGTGACGACCATGCTTGAATCGCGAACTTAGGGACAAGCCGGGAGGCTCTATCATCAGTTGCTCGAGTGGAATTTCGCCATCTTGAAGGAGCTGTCGAATGTGCGCTCCACGCCCCTTCATGGCAGCGAAACCAGTGAGGCCGATGAAATAGCCTGGAACGCACCGAGTTCTCCAGTTTGAAGAAGCAGGTACGGCTGCTTACCAGAACTGCTAAAGAATCCCAGACTGAGTGGCCTCTGGAGACGTAAGCTTTCAGATCTTCTGCTTTTCCGGTGAAGCAATGAACGCAGGCGCTCTTCGGACACACACCACTCTCCGCGAGGATGCGCTGAAGATCATCAGACGACCCCAAAGGCTTTCCCTTGCTCGGGTCTCGGTCTCGCTCATGGAGGAACAAAGGCCTGTTTAGATGAGCTGTGTCGCAAGCACACCCTCATATTCGCACAGCTCGAAAAAAACATCAAGTGCTAGGAAAACAAACACGGTGAAGTCTTTAGGTGACCCAGTGTCATGTGCAACTCCACAGCAAGTTCCACTTGCTGTCGGCACCAGTGCAGCTGCACATCTCGCGGAGAGAACATCCTGTCATAGTCGAGGCCTCAGTCTCAGGTCACAAAACTTGTACGCTTTGCACTTTAAGCTAGCCTCACGACAGCAAAACGAAACCGATTTGACATAATCGCCCGAAGACACCACACTCCCCGATTGAAACACAAGCTCTCTCGGCCGCCAATGATCTCAAAGCATCTAAGGTCTCCGGATTGCAGCTCTTCGCATCATGCGGATGGACACCGGCTGTGAAGAACAGGTTCGGAAGAACCTTAACCCCGGTCTCCTGGATCCTGCATCTTGTGATTTCAGAGCGAACAAAGCAAAAGCTCGGACCTAGCTAGGGGCTACCCGCAGCTACGAACAGAACAAAATTGCCATGAAGTTCTGAAGACCAGAAAGAAATACGTGAACCTAAAAAACATTTCTTCCGCAAGAGGTGGAAGGAGGAAACCCGAGACCCAAGGCGGAAACGATGAAATGCCTGGGAGAGTTGGGAGCCTAGGGCCTAGGAATCCGAGCAATCGCCGAGCAGCTCTCTCTGAGCGGCAGCGCCCACAAGCTTCAGAGCCTTTGACCATCCTGTCGGCCCAGTCCATTCCCGACAAAGCCGGCTGGCATCCCTGGATCCCTTGACACTGCCTCAGTGCAGAGGCCAACACGCAAGACAGGGTCGCAAGGTCATCAGATCATATCATATCAATTTTCCAATCTTTATGGCGATCAAGCTACATCCTGTGAGGATCACGTGGCTCACTTGCGAGGCAGAGGCTCGCAGAAGCTGCGCAGCAAGGTCTTGGGGTGAGCACTTGCCCAAATTAGCCCCGATGTCCACCAAGCTACCTACCTCGCCTGCACCTACGGCGAAGCGTGCCAATGCGGCTACTTTGAGGGGTCCCTCTGGATCGTCCCGAACACTCGGGCTTGACCCTTTCTTGGCTCGCTTTTGCCTGTTGGCCGGGGCATCCCAATACTCGGGGCCTCTTTGCCCTTTGTTGCTGGAAATGGACTGTAGCCACCTTTGGTATGAGAAATCTATACCCATCTCCTCGCAACCTTCTCGAATAAGCTTCAAGTATCGCTCTGGTGGCGCAACACTCGTCGGCAACTTCCACTCAGCTGGACTCACAAAGGCCTGCGCAGCAATCACTCTACCATCGTAGCACTCCACGTTTAGCTCAGTTGTGCGGTACTCATATTCGATTTGACAAAGCTTGGCAAAATCCCTGGTGCTGAGCTGAAGAAGAATTCCATGAACTGCGTCTGGGCCATCATCAGCCGGCAGTTCATCTAAACGCTGCACATTTCCCATGCCGCCCTTGTGATTGAACAGAAGCCTCCACCCGGCAACTTTGCCCGGAATCTCTGCCCATGGTATGATGCCTCGTCGCTCTCGCAGCTTCCACGGGTTGATGTTGGCTCCAAATCCGAAATACCAGACTCTGGCACCGGTATCGCCTTGCCGCGGCTCCGGCTCCCATCGAGGGCCGGGGTGGCCAGGGCCGCTAGGGCCACTAGCGCTGGAGTAGGGGCCTTCGCCGCCAGTGCCGCCTGCTTTGAAGTTTTCCCCTTTCCCAGCAGACCCACCGAAACGCCAACGTGGCATGCAGCCAAGCGAACCAGGAGCGGAAGCCCAGTTGATCCAAAGTGCGGACCCCAAATGCGCAAAAACGCTTCCAGTTCCTTCCTGAGGACTTCGCCGGGCACAGAACAGTGGCCACTTAGATGTCGTGCTGAAAATCAGAAATGAAATCAGCAGCAGCAGGAGCAAAGGGCGACTAAAACCCATCTTCAGCCTGAAGCTGCAAGTCATGTGCTGTTTGCTTGACTCGTCGGAGTCATGGCATTTGAGAAGAACAACTACGCTCAACCGACACAGCTCTCCGTAACAACCAAAGACTTTTGAAAAGCTTGCTAACCAAATAGAAATGATAAAGGATGATAGAATCAGATAGAAGTATAGATAGGACCTGATAGGACCTAAGCTCGCCCAAGAAGTGTATGTTTTCCACCTGCTGTTCGCCAAGGCAGAATCACCCGCATGATCTCGCGTGCAGGACGAGCATGGGCATTTTCAAGTGTTGCGGCGGTCGCAGACCCCGCCAAGTGGCAAGCTCCCTGGCCAAAGTCAGTTCAATCCATGTTCCAGCGCCTCGCACATCGCCTGCAGCGGCTGCGGCAAACCAGAAAGCCAGCTGCTGTTGCCCCACTTAGCAAGGACCATATGGGAAGACTTTTTGCATCAGCACCCCCAGCGGTCAGCTGCAACCGTGCGTGCGTTAGTGCATGGTCATCTCCTCGAACTCCAAAATCCGTCGTGAAGTCCAGGAATACAGGCATGTCGAAACCGAAGTCTCCCACAGATTTGGGTCGGAGAAAACCGACGGAGTCCAGCCACCCGAAAGCCAAGTAAACAGGGTCCCTTCGGAGGTCCAAGTTCAAGTAGGTCTGGGCATCTTCTACTTGCAACTTCGTCTTGGGAATGTGATCCGTCATCATGAAGAACGAAGGCATGCTGGTCGGATCAAGGCTCTTTACTGTTCGACCCTTTGCCCTCAGTGCCCTTTCAAGCTCTGCAAAGCTCACAGCCCACCCATTGTGGCTGGCATTCAGCTTGTCATCTGTGCTGGCACGCGCAATGTCATCTACGATATCGGACGACACTAGCTGGTCCCAAGGTGTATACTTATATGTCACGGGCGAAGGCTCAATCTGATGCTCTCTCCACCAGTCTGTCTGCAAGAAGAAGCTGTCGCAAAACTGTCGTGACGGATGGTCAACGGTCACACCGCCGACGGCCTGGCCGTCAAAGTACTTCACATCCCACGACAGCAACTCTCTCCTTCCGTGATTTGTCACGAGAAGATGGCGAAGAATAGCTTGGCTCCTGTTGGTCAGAGCTGCGACCTTCTGCGAGTGCACCCAGTGACGCATGTGAGAGATTTCGACGTCAAGGCGAGCATCTGATTTGAGAACGAGTCGATCGTTTATATCACCTAACAGAATGGCTTGGAATACGTGGCCGTCTCGAGAAGCGACGGCCTGTTGTCGGCGAATCTCCCGGAACAGTTGATCAACCTGCTCTGCTTTGTGCTCATCATGGGTGTCGAAATTCACTCCAATTACCATCACCACAGCTGCCTTTCCATTCATGCTCAAGCGAATAGATTGGAAGAGAACCACTTTGTTCGGCCTGCCTCGAGCATGACAACAAGATGACACAGGGCTTTCGACGGAAGGTGCCGAACCTGACGACTTCGAACAAAGCAGCAGGGCATGCACTCCATGTTTAGGCCCCTTGCTGCTCAAGCCACTGTATGGCACCGCTGGTGAGTGTCCTGGCAAAACTGCAAATACCGGAAGCGTTCATTTATGTTGAATCCGTTTTACAAATTGGAGCTATTGAGCAGTTTGGAGGATCTACTACCGGGTGCGAATGCAATGCAAGCAATGCCTTAAGTGGGACAGCGGGGAATGTCGCATGCGGTGTCATGAAGCCTTCAGGTTGCACACGTCCTTTGCCGATGTTGCACGTATACCTTCGCAACCGCAAGTTGTCGGCAACTCGCACCCAATTGAACGAGGTGAACGTTGTGTCCATCTCAAAATACACAACCAAGTCCTGAGACACTGCTGCTGCAATGCTGCTGTACTGCTAAACTGTCAGCAAAACCTGGTCCAAGGCGTAGGGATTCGGGCACTGGCATGCTTTGCTGAGTGACGTCACCATGTTTGGAAAGCACGTTCGCAATGTAGGCAGATGAACCCTCGGACTGTCTCCGCCCGTTCAGCTTCCAAGACGCAGTCGCGATTGTGTATCCAAGCGCCCATGGCGTCCATACAATGTGAAGCGACAATGCATGGCCCATGGTTCGACATGTGATCACTCATTAACACCAGCTGCTAGCCGACATTGGAAATGGCACGCAGTGCCCTTTTGTATCCAGGCCTATTGCGTGCCCTGCATCGTTCATCTCTTACAAAAGACATAATTATTATCTTTCCCGTTGATAGACTGACCGAAGGATAGTCGCAGAAGTTCTCCGAGTTTAAAGAGAAAACATGTTAACCTGTCAACCTATGGGCTGCTGCACTAACAATGACAACATGGAGTTGGCACGCGTGACATCGGTGCTGCATGAGACTTGCTTGGCGCGGGGGGCGCTGCAAGATTCAAGCTCAGCACCAATCCGTTCTTCGGCAAACGCTCAACAAAGTCACCACGGCGAATTGCTCCATCTGCATTCACGCAGTTTGCGAAACTTGCGGTATGTCAGAAAGTTCTTGACACTGCCACCAACTGTGAAACACTACGACATCAAGATGTTGTGCAAGTTTGCTTTTGCACGTGCCCAGCCAACAAAGCGTCCAATCTCAGCATCTCACGTGCTCCTCAGACGATCCGCGCGAGATTGTCTGCTGCACAGCTCGCGTGCTGCCATCGGTTGTCGCTCGATTGGTGGCCTCATGAGATACATCGCTTTCTGAATCGTCGCGATTGGAGCTCCTGGCTGGGGCACCTTCCAGAATGGAATCTTCCCCAGGTTTCAATTCCAGCCGTTCATGTTCCGACACTTGATCCAAAACATGCTGCCAGCGTTGTCCCGTTCGCCCCCATCGTCGACTTGGCCGTCTTGGTGCTTTGGGGTCGAACGATGCCAAATTCCACCAGACACGTGCCGTGTTGGCTAATGCACTGCCAGCAAGAGCTAAGAAGATCCCAAATACAATCGGGCGACCATATGTGCCATAAAGCCAAGCTGCGATGGCTAAAACAAAAAACAAATAAGATTCCATCATGTAGATGACCGTCTCTCCCAGAATTTGTGGGTTGTGCCGCAGAAACTCGATGGCATCTGCATCTGTCAACGAATCCCAGTGGAATAATGTCAACACACAGAACAAGATACAGTTTATGTTGGCAAAGAAGCATGTCAAACACAATGCTACGTATATTTGGCGGATTTGAAACATTTGATACTCCCCAATGCAGTATCCTTGCGGAGTGATCTCGTGGCCTTCAATGAGAGCACCGATGACGGTCGTCAGGACAAGGGAAGTGGTGACACCGATATTGGTCCATGCATTCTTCGCGGAATCCTTCACCCTTCGCAAAGAACAGTGCCGCAAAATGCTAATGCTGATCCTGTCGTTGAATGCCATGGTAGCTGTCAGGTGCAATGCAAACGAAACTGCATATACAATCCACGGCCCTAAGTTGGGGGTGTCCACATGGGCATACCCGAAGTACGATTGTGCTTCCTCTGTCGAATTTGGCCTGCACACGGCGATGTCTCCATCCATGATTTTGCCTAAATCTGAGGAAAATGCAGCCGCTTCCTTTGCAGCGACTGCAGCCACTAGGGCTTGCAAGGTTTGAGCTGTGTGTGCGGCGGGATGTTCGCGACTGAACCAGTCATTGTTGTAGTTCAGCATTGCTGGGAGCCTGCAAAGCCAACACTTGCAAATGAGGTCAATTACACTGAGACACTGCCACTGTTTTGTGCGCATCAGGCTCTGAGTGGGTGGTTGTACGTCCTTCAAGCCCTCGACCGGGCTGCTGTGCAATGCCTTCCGTTTCAGCTTGGAAACTATGCAACACGCATCGAGGCACGTCAATGCAGCGTTGGTTGGAGGCTGCAGCTTGTCCGGGGGAATAGTGTCGGGAGAAAGCTTTCCTGCCAACAAATCCTTTACCGCAGCGCTGCACGCCTGGCAAAAAGGCCACTGTCGGGCGACGCCCTGCGACCTGCTGCGGCCCCTGTATGGCACGGGTGTCCCCGGCACTCAAGCTGCTTGGAAAGTTGGTACTGTTTTTGCTTTGTTCACGCACTTCTTTTGCAGTGCCTCGCCAGCCTGCTTGAGCTCGATGCCCCCTTGACCCCATCCAGTCTCCGGGCCGCCCAGCTTCCCCAACGGTTCGGTGGGCTCGGCCTGCGCTGCGCGAGCGCTGCCCGCCACGCCGCACACTGGGCGTCCTGGCTCGACACCTTCCCCGTCATCCTTGCCCGCGCGCCGGCCGCA